CTTATTTAAAATAATGTTACATTTGCACATAAGTTATACATTCTCCCATACACTTTAAATCATCTCTAGATTACCTGCATTATCTAATGTGACATAGTTATTATATTACACTGACTAGGAAACGACAACATAAATCCATACATGTTCAGTGCAAAGTAAAATTTGTAACATGCACTTGGTTGAATCCATGGATATGAAACTCACAGATATCAAAGGCTAGTACTACATGCGATAATTGAGTTTCAGTTATATCCAAATCCAGCGCATTCATGATTCAATTTCTATGATGTGTAATTACACACAAATTGAATATTGTGTTTTAAGCAATTATTTCTGAAAGCTAGTTTTTCTTAATTTCCTATATCATCCACTCTTTTCAGTGACACGTAAGTGGCTCTCTACATTGATCAGAATCTTATTTTAGTTTAATATAAATGATTTATTCTTTATTGTTTTTATTTTTAATTGACACAAAATTATATGTATTCATCATGTGAAACACTTGTTTTGCAGTATATATATATATATATATAGTACATTTACTAAATCTACGTAATATACACACGTTGTAATAGTGAACCTTTGTAAGTTTTTTATTACACCATAAATGCCACAATTAATTCCATGCAAAATAAAATTACTTTTGATATTTTTGTATATATTTATCACATAACACTTAATGATCACACAACCTTGATCATTATTCAGTTTTTCTAATACTATGGGAATAAAATACCTAAAATTAACTTCATAATACAGTGACATCTGATTCTAGTCAAACAATCAAAGATCATTCTCTTTGATAATTTTACTTATAGTCTCTTGTTTAATGATCTCACTAACTAGAGATCAGCTTTTTTAAAAGATTCACAAATTATTTTTTCCATATAACTTATTTATATTTTGTTATATCTTTACTTTTCTAATTCTTTCCTTAAGCATAAATTTTTATATTATACTGTACTAAAGAACAGATTAGATATTTCAAAACAACTGTGAGTGATACGCTGTCATATGGCTATTTCTACAATTATTATTTTTTAGTATGTACAAATATAATGCGTTTAGTATAAAAATTTGATAGCATGCAGGGACATATTTACTTTTCAGAAGTAGCAATGATCACCAGTAAAGTCTGTATATGGATAGACATATATACATATATTAATATACATATTTATATATTTCTGTAAATAAACTGAAATTAAATTGTAATATGCTTTTGTCTCCTAGAAATATGCTTAGAGTGGTCCCTATAAATAAATACAGACATCCTGATTGACTGAAAAAGCTAAGTAATAATCACAGTATGAGTACATCATGATGTATTTAATAATTTCTCTGTTCTAAATTTTTATAGGCATAGGTTTTATATGCTTGATTGACTACACAAACATAGAAGTGGATTTTCTGAATAAAGGGTTTATAACTTAAAATTCTCCTAAGGAATTTTCATTAACTTTTCAAAGTTGTAATATTTCATATATTTAACATAATCTAGTACCAGAGACAAAAAAGCAGTTTAATGTTCATTGTATAGGTTATATAAATCATCCCAGATATAAAATATTTTGCTATAGGTGACACAGGTGTCAATTTACTATTTTATACCAATGTATTTTGCCTGTTTTCATGTAATTCTCACCCAAGTAGATATCAGTTTCAGATCACCAATTTTCAGAACATATTATATTGAAAGTTTCCTTTGGAATATGCTCGCACGATCATAATTTTTATATAATTTATTCCAATGGTTTTGGTTATTTTAATACAGTTTAAACTTGAATGTTTTGGCTTTTGTGGTATTTTACTCCATTCTTCATGGTTTTTTTACCTTAGTTTTATGTTTCCCATTATTCAAATCAGGTATTCTTTGAGTTAAATAATTTTAGTTAAAATATCTTTTTAAACTTTTGAAATATTTTATTATAAAACTATGATATATACATACATGGAACACAAAATATTAATGAAAGAAACAAATATGTGTCCACTAGAAAGATAATATTACCAATATCTTTGGGAACACAGATATGCATTTTTTCCCAACTACAATACTAAGCCTCCTAGGAAAACATATGCAAACAAACACAAAATTCAATGTTGATCATTCCTTGCTTTTTCTAGGTTATATTTATTTTATCTGTGTATTGTTTCTATTTATCTTTTGAAGTATAATACCAATAAAGTAAGATGCAAAAGTGCCAACTGGCCAGATAGCCAAAGAGAAAACATCTTTATAAACATCACTTGGGTAGAGAATGACGCAATGTCACACTTAAGAATAAAGGACATCAATCTTTTTTGTCACCTCCCATCATTATGCCTTCCCTTGTCCCCACAACTATACACCATTCTAACTCATAACATCTTTAACTGATTTTGCCTGTTTGAAAAAGTTAAGAGTGGGTCCATGATTATTTACTGCCTCCTGGGATGTCTGATAAGAGTAAATGAATTTCTGGTAAATGTGCTGACACTGATAATGACTCTTTGTCAACACCCTAAGAGATAATACTATTTTACTAAGGAATATTTTCTCTGTCCATGTTGTTTACAAACCCTGAAAATTGCAGAGTGTAAGACACTGCTACCAAGAGACACTGTGGAATTCACAGTGTAAAACAGACTCATTCAAAATTTAGGTAAATGTCTCCCTTTGTAAATAATATTTCTGTAGACTTTACTCAAAATCACAGTAACACCCATCTTTTACTGTGTAACCAAACACATCTTAACGGAGAAGAAAAGAGGTATAATTTGGGGATATCCAACAATGCTTTCTTGATCTCCAAATAACATGTTTCATTTCTCACCTCAATCTTTTAAATTATTAATAAAATTTGAAGTAAGATCTACCATGCACAGGAATCTGATTTCAAAATACAGCTCTTTGTGACAATATACTTATTGTGGAAACATACATACTTTCAAACAATATGACTTGAAAAGAAGCATCTGGATTCCTTTGCTCAATGTTATATTTATTAGATTTACCCAGGGTACACATAGTTTATTTATAAAATTCAGTGGTATATGGAATTTCATTGTGTGGCACACCATACTTTATACTGCATGATTTTAGAGATGGTGGACTTCAGTTAGTTTTGCTTTCTGTGATATTAGGGATTAGTGTTTCTATGTGCCTTTATATGTATGTTCATATGCACATTTTTAAGCAAATTATGTAAGTCAAAGTAGAATTGCTAAGTCATCTTGTATGTGTTCCAATTTTCCCTTCTGTAAGTTATATATTAAATATTTTCACAGACACCAAGATGAAAATTTCATATGCCCATGCCCAAAGGTTGAGACAAATTTTCCTGTGGTCCCACTTTGGGACAAACAAGAGCATGGGACAGCTGCTGAGTTGATGTAGCAGTGTATGGAATTCAAAACTGCTAATGTAGCTGGGATTCATATTATACGGCATTGCCAATGATGGAGATAAACATGGGATTAGGGAGGAAGTCTACACAGGAGTGAACATTAGGCCTTTGATCAAGCACTGGACCACACAAGTACACAAGACTTACCAAGCCTACCTAAGAGTAGATGCAAGGCTAAGAGAACAGTGAAAATGCCAGAGATTTTGCAGTGATTGAAGTTGTGGCCAGTCAGGGTAGACAAAATATCTAGACATTAAACACATATAAAAGCAAGGGCAAGATGAAGAGGGACAGGAATAGAGTTTTAAAATATATTTTAGCGTTCAGGGATATAGGTCAGTAGCATTGTGCCTGGTTGCCAAATGTGAAGTCTTCAGTTCAATTCTTATTACCAAAAAAAGAAAAAAATTGTTTTGAAGAAAAGCAGCCAAACATTCCACAATTTGGGAAATAAAGTCAAATTATAGGAGTGAAATTCAAGTAGATTAAATAAAATAATACAGATACATTATAGGTAAACTGCTCGGAGCAAAATACTTTTTAAAAAATAAAATTTTCCAAATAATCCAGATGCATTACCTATCTAAAAATATGTCTTCCGTCTTAACACATTCCATGGAGATTGGAGTATAGGGTGGGTAGCAACCTTCCAATACCAAAAGAAAATACTTGTCAACCTAAATCATATAGCCAAAAAACTATCCTTCCAACCTGGAAATAAAGACATTCATGTTGTCAGGTCTAAAACAATTTGTTACTAGACAACCTACAATATAATTAAGTAACACGGAAATAATATGGAGTCTTTGAGATGTACGGAAATGACCAATCATGCTACAGGAAAGAGGTGAGGACAGTGGAGTAAGGAACTCGGTTTATAAACAGGCAACTCCACTTTTGAAATATATCTGACTTTCTGAAATAAAAATGGTATGGGGTGTTGTATTATACATGCCAACATATGACATGAAAAACATAAAAGAAGAAGGATTTATGGAAATGTAGCATTCTTAGATTGCATTTACACAGCATGACAGTATCATAATTCAAATTATAACAAGAAAAGATAAAAATTCATATTCTAAGCCATAGAATATTAGGTAAATATGACTCAAGAAGGTACAAATACCTAGGACTGTGACTGAAGTACAAATTACCCAAAATTCTAGCTTTAAAAATATACTTATTTACTTACTTTTTCTACTAGGCTATATCTTAATGCAACAAAAATCAGATGGTCAGTACCTAGCACACACTGAGAATGAAAGGAGTATTTATGGAGTTAATAAATATTTAAATGAAACAAGCAAAATGAAAATAAGTTGCTCTTCTTGGTATTCTTGTTTGCCTTACAACAAACTGATACCTAAGTAGAATTATTTTGGTACAGGAAAAATATAAAACATTTTAAGGAACAGTATTTGTAGAAAAGTAAATTTGTAATTATAGCAGACACTTCACAGTATAACCACATTACTGAGAAAACTTGGAAAAGATAAAAGTTTAAAAAACATGTTTACAAGTGCCAAGCACCCAAGTAATTAAATATCTGAAAAGACAAAGTCTCAATTATGAGAGAATCCCAACTAATGAAACCCAAATTTGGCATACCTTGTATCTTCAAAGCTTTTGTTACTTCAAAATATGAATGAGAATGAAAGGATTACAACAGGTTTATGATCTATTTTCTCACTTTACTGCAATGCCTGAGAAAAAAGACAAAGGTTTGATTACATCCATAGAATATGCAATGACAGTAGATACTACTGCACATACATTAGAAGAGATACGATAAAAATACATTGCACTGTACATCTTGCATTTACACAATAAAAAAAAATAGTGCTGACCACTGCAAATGCTAATCAGGGTATACAGCAACTGTATGATTCATACACTGCTAATTAATTTTAAGAACCTTTTGCTAAGCATGTTGACACTATACAAACAGAAAAAATGCTAAAGAAAATATAGCCTGGACCACAATGAAACTTAGGAAACTTCAAATGTCCAACATCTTAGAAATACACTGTGTTTATAATGAAATCTTTCTCTACAAATGAATCCTGTATACAGGTATCCATGAGCTTTCCATGTCAAGGAGGAAAAGCGTATTCTTAAACCTGCACAAACCTCTCCACATAATAAAAAACAGGGAAATGATTCCTGAAAATGCTTTTTAAGCCCCCTATAAACTTTAGATCAAAATAAAAGAAACTCAGTGATGTATATCATCCATCAAATCTTCACTGTCCCTCATGCTGCAAACCTCCACCTCTATCACACCTCTATCTCTGCCCTATCCAAAACACAAATTATGTTTGACAAACAGAACCCTCAGGCACTTCATTTATAATATTCCATAATTATGAATTCATCCTATGATATAGTTTTGGTATCAAACAACCAATAAAACAAAAGGCAAAATCACAATATCTCTCAGAATAGGGAAATAGATATGACTAAATTTATCATGCAACCACTTAAATACCTCAAAATGTGTAGCAAATATACCTAACAGTGAAATATTATAAGCTTCTCTGAGAATACAGACTGAAATTAAAGAATAAATTAAACAAGATTTCTGAATTCCTTAGAATTAAATATTAACACATTGTTTTTCTAAGAACAACAATTGTTAGCAAAATGTATGCACTCATAAAAAAATGACAAAAAAGTCCTCTATACTAAAAGGTCACATTTTGTGGCTCTTCTCATATATTGATTAGATAAAACTTGAGCATGTTTTAACCCTTATTATTGTCATTTTTTTTCTGGTATCATGGGAATAGAGAGCCTGATATATAAATGTTACTATTCACTTGGCATTTAATTCCAGTTCAACAAGTTTTAGATGACTCTTTGCGACCATTTTATAAATTAACACTTATTTAATAATCTTACTGAGTGTTCAACTTCATAATGTAATAAAATTATTTTATCTCATAACTTGCTACTTTTCTTATTATTGCTCCTTTCTATTTATTTTATAAATAGCATCCTATTTAATTTATCCTATACTACATTAACATAAAAAGAAAAAGATTCTTAAAATTTATAACTAAGTCATCACTATGTATTTTTTTTATCAGTACTGGGGATCAAACTCACAACTGCCTGCTTGCAAAGCAGGTGCTTTTGCCACTGAGCTAAATCCCCAGCCCCATCACTATGTATTTTTAAAAATCCATATAGTTATGCTTTATGTGATATATGTACAAGTTTTGAAAATGGTAATACAACCCATTGTAGAAGTAATTGTGGACTTCAGAGAAGACAGCAGAGCAGAGGGAAGCAGCAAATAAGCATCTATGAGATTGGCAGTCTGGATCCCAGAGTATAGCAACTTGGGGAAGAAAAGAAGCAGGAACATGATTCCTGATACCCAAGAAAGTTCTGAAGGGTGAAATGGAGTCCATGTGGAGAGTGAGAAGACAGATTCCCAGACAGAATGGAAGTTGTAAACTGTGCTTTCTCCCTGACTCCTTTCTCCTTGGTGAATTACATTCTCTCTGACTCTCCCACCTTGCTACATGAAAGAGGCGGCTCCAACCTACAGACATGTGGTGACACTTGGGGCCTTGGAGACCTACAGGGAAACACACACGAGTGAATCAGAGCAGTGGATGCAATGGGCTGCAGCAGCTGGTAACTGACTCCATTCTAAATGACCTCAGGAGAGACTGACTGACTGGGTGTCATTTTGGGATTAGAACTAACTGAACCCAGGACTCAAAACAGCCACAGATTGGCTCGACCAGTATCTGAGGCAGGCACAGCCATGGCAGTTGCCCAGGATCAGGGAGCTGACATCAAGCTGGCAAGACACACCTGAACAACTCAGGTCACAGTCCCAAAGTGGAAAACCAGGATCAGCCTGAACTTCTGGGGTGCAGAGTTGAACTGGCACCCCATCCTAATCCTTCTGCAGGCTTATTGGGATGATACAATAGGATCTGGGCTCTGTCTTCTTCCTCTGTCTACCAGTAACAGCAGATACGCTCAGAAGTATATACTAGTACAAAACTATATACCCCAGATGATTACCACAGGCTTTAAATCACAGAAAAATCTATTTTGGGTTTTTTGGTTACAGGTGTTCTTACTGTTGCTTTATTGCATTTTCTTGCTCTTTCATGAGTCTGAAGTTTTAGGTTTTTTTTCCTTCCTTCTTTGTTTCCCTACTGTCTTTTTCCAAAACCTTCAGTAAACTTCATTTGTCCTTCAAAGTTGTCACATCTCTTTCTTTCCTTCTATTTTTCTATTATTTTCTTTCTCATATTCCTTTCAAATTTTCTCACCAGAGGGTAAAATTAGTCAATTGAGGGGACAGTTAATGTTTATAAATCTCTGGTTTGTTTTATATTTTGTTATGTAAGTACAAATTTTATTCCTATGATTAAAGTTGACAAATTAATAGTTATGACAGTTTATCATTTTCTAGGCTGTGCTATATCCCATTGTTATTACTAATAATATTAGTTTAGTCAAGGTGATATAGTCATTCTAATCAGTTTTCTTTCCTTGCACACCAATACCGAGATTGTGTGAGAGTCATAAAGAGTATTATAGAAGTCCAGTACCAAAGAATGAGGGGCTAAGCAACTTCTCATCCCTAGTAAATTGAAGGGTAAGGATCTATAGCCGTCTCAAAAGCCAAAATCCACCTACACCTCTTCAATACAACTCTGGAAACATCAGCAAGGCAATGAGACAAGAGAAAGAAAGAAAGAAAATGAATAAGAATAGGAAAGGAATAAGTTAAATTATCTTTATTCGCAGAGGATATGATACTTTGCATATAAGACCCCAAACCTCCATCAAAGTACTTCTAGATTTCTAACTAAATTCAGTAGTGTGGCTGGACAAAAGTCAGCACTTAAAAATCAGTAGCATCCTTGTACACAAATAAAAAAAAGTCATCGAGAGAGAAATAAGGAAACCATTTTCATAATCACACTGAAAAAAATGAAGCACTTAGGAATCAATGTAATGAAGGAAGTAAAACATTTTTATACTGAAAACTAAAGCATGCTAAAAAAGGAGACTGAAGAGGCTAATCAGAAAATAGAAAGATATTCCCTCCCCTTTTTTTTTTTTTTTGTCTTTTTGAGATAGGGTCTGGCTACTATGTAATTCAGATTGGCCTTGGGCTCACTTTGTAGTGAGCCAACTTGCAAAGATTGTCCTATCTCAGCTTCCCTAGTGCTGGGATTATAGGAGTGCAACATCATGCCCAGCGATATCCCTAATTCTAGAGTGGAAATAAACAATATAATGAAAATGGCCATAATTTCAAAAGTTTTACATAGATTTAATGCAATCACAATCAAGATTCCAAAAGCATACATTACAGAATTAAAGCAAACATTCTTAAAATTCATTTGGAATCAGCAGAAGCAATTCTGGGTAACAGAGACAAGGTAGGATCATCACAATCCCTGACTTAAATTATACTATCAAGACAGAAGATGCAGAAACCACCTCACTTAGCTACTTTACCTTTTACAAAGAGGACAAACACATTCACAGGATGAAAGATAGCCTCTCTAATAAATGGTGCTGGAAAAACCGGCTTTCTGCTCATTCAAGATTAAACCTAGACCCTTATCTCCGACCATGCACTAAACTAAAATCAAAATAGATCAAAGATGTAAATATTGAAACAAAAACATTAAATCCACTGAAAGAGAAAATAGGCAGAACTCTTAAAGATGCTGGTGTATGCAAAGACTTTATAAACAAAATCCCAATTGCTCAAGAAATATTACAAAGAATCAACAACTGGGATCTCAATTTATCAAAAAGCTTTTGTATAGCAAAAGAAACCACCAAAAGAGTGAAAAGACAACCCGAAGAGTGGGAAAGAATGTTTGCTATTTGTACCTGAAATAAAGGACTAATGCCTAGAACATATAAAGAAGAGAAAAAAATCAAACTTCCCAAACTTAAAGATGCAATTCAAAAATTGGCATCTGAGATGAATACACACTTTTCAAATGAAGAAGTACAAATGGCAAACAAATATGTGAAAAAATGTTCAACACCACTGGTCTTTCGAGAGATGCAAATTAAAGCAACACTGAAATTACATCTTACCTCGGAAAGAATGGCAATTATCAAGAAATCAACCAGTACCAAATGTTGACAGGGCTATGAGGTAAAAGGAAGCCTTCTGAACTGCTGGTGGGAGTATAGATTGGTGCAATTACTGGGTAAATTACTGTGGTAATTACTCAAAAAACATTAACTACAGGATCCATATGACACAGATATGCCCCTTCTTAGTGTCTTCCCAAAAGAATTAAAAGCATAATAGCACAGTGATACATGCACGTCTATGTTTATATCAGCAGTATTGGTTAAAGTTAAATTTTAGAAGTAAACCAAATGCCCATCAATCAATGAATGGATCAAAGATGTGGTTTTTCCATACACTGCAGTACTACTATATCATAAAAAGGATAAATTGGAGACTTTTCTATGCAAATGGATGCACTTTGAGACCATATTCTTCAATGAAATAAATTAGACAAGACACACATGTTTAAATATTGCATTGCTTCTCTGGTATGAGAAAGCAAAAGGATAAATAGGGACCAAAATGTATGGTAGACATTGAGAAATAGGAAGAAAATTCTCAAATGGAAGGAGCAACAAGGGATAGGGAAAAGGAAAGGAAGAGAAAAGAAAAAATATAATTGAA